ACAAAGGTCAATTTCACAGCACAGAATCTCAGGAACCAGCAGAGAACATACCAACATCAGAACTGGGAACAAGACTGCAGCACCCTCTGCACAGCCTCACACAGGCATAGTCAGTCCAAGCCTCTGTGATGCTTCAAGTACCAGTACATGACATTGTATTGTCAACCTGATTTGACTTTAATCCATCTAAAATGTTTGTGTAAAATCTTATTGAAAGAATACTTGTTATTAGAACACAAGAAGAAAGTAGTAAAACATCATTTGGCCATCACATTTGAGTTCCATTTGAAAGACATTCCACAGATTCCTATACTTTAGCAAAGTAAGGCAACTGGAAGCTAGAAAAGATTTCACTTACCAGACAAGCAAGTCTGTCAAGCAACGAACCGTTGGGCATGTATTCATACACCAGGCATGGCTGAGCACCATCACTTGAGAAACCAAGTAATTCTACTAAATTTTCATGCCGACACCTATAGCAAAAGAAAAATACCTGTCCACATTTGCTCTGAAAGACTCTCAACATCTGAGGAAAAACATAAGGCAGAGGGAACTTGATTCCCAATGACTTGTTTCACCTCTACTGCACAAAGCCAGGTTTGTGTAGTGATGCTTTAAAACAAACAAAATGTGATTGTGCTGTATAAGAAACATTTTCAGTTAACATGCAAACTGTTATGTTAGAAAGACAAAAATTGTATAATGATGTACTCACTTTGCCATTATGTTTATTTCTTGTTCAAACTGCTGTTTCAAATCCTCAACACTAACATCAACCATCTATAGAAAGAAGTATTTGACATTAACATCACTGGTTCATAATAAAATGCACAGTTGTTCATTAAAAAAAAAAAAAGAATTGTAAGCCTCTCTTAGTTAACTTTTCACAATACACGTTCTACTCAGTTCTAAAATAAAATATCAGAACATGACTTTAAATCTCTTGGAACACTATAACTAGATAAATGGATCTAGTTTCAGCAGTCAGCAACTTACTCCATTCACTACAGTTACCTTCTAATAGCACTTAATTACAAAATTCAATATCAACACAAAATAGTGGTATGAAGACTAAAATCCTGTGACAATACCTATTTAGCTTGTGAATCTCAGCCATCCTAATCTGAAATGGAAACTTCCTTAGGACCCCTTCTCTTCTGGCACTTCTTAAGGGCGAGGGGAAAACAACTAAGGAAGCACTCTGCTCTTCCCAACAACATGTTTAGCCCCTCAAAGGAGAGGTATGGAGAAGGGAAGAATTAGCTCCTGCGACTGTGCTGACTCACAACATTGAGGGGACTAAGGATAAATTTCTTAATCCAACTAATGTGTAACATAATAACAACACTTTTTGAAATGTATCACTGAGCACTTTTCACAATAAACAAGGTAAACAAGTCGATACTATAAAGTACACAGTCATTAAAATGAAAAATTCCCAGGACAACTCACAGCAATGAGTTTCTTGACAGCCACGTTTTTGCCATTGATGTAGCCTTTGAACACAATGCCAAAGCCACCTTCTCCCAGTTTATTACCTCCAGCTGATTCTGGTCGGGCATCAAAATTATTTGTAATGCTTTCCAAGTCATGAAACAAAAAATTCTGAAAATCTGAAAGACATTGACATTTAGCACAAAACTATGCTTTCACTTAAGGAACAAGGTTTTCTGTTTCAGTTCTCTTAAAACAAAAACCTATTACCACACAAAACCTAATACTGTGGAGCCCTACTTCCAGCTCTGTGATGAAGATACCAGAAACACAAAAGGGAGGCAGCTAAACATATATAATTATATATGCATCATTTTCTTCACAACTAGCACTGTAACACACATCTGATTGTATACTGGATTCATACCTGTGATACAGGTAGTAGAAATTAGATGTATAGCAGATCACAGAGCCAGACTACCTTATATTTAAAAAAATATGCCAAGGTTACATCATGTTTCTGGCAGCAACCCAAAAGTAGACCTTTAGGAAGGAATAGATCAACCACACACTTTCCTAAAATGCCTTCTTTAGTCATCTTTTCTCCAGCATTCTCAGTCATTTCTGACATATAAAATCTAGTTTTAAAGCACGAGATGCTGAACAGTCTATAAAATAAGTATTGGAAAAGGGCAACAGGATTATGTGTGGCAAAAAAGAAATTGCAGTTTAACTAACAGTTAAGTTTTCCATCAAATTAGGTGACTTATTGGCAAGATGCTCTTTCCCACAGATGCACCATGATAGAAATAGTGTCATCACTCTCATGTACCGCTATGATTTATTTCACATGGGCTGAAGAACCGATCAGCAAAAAAAAAATAGCACTAAATTCTACCAAAGTAAACATCTACCTGTGTTACTGGACTGTGAGCTGCTGTTTTCTTCACTTAAGTAGGAAGAATCTGAATGCTGCCTCTCAGTACTCTGAGCTAAAACAAGCTTTACAGATGCCACTTCTATTTCCTGTACAGGTAGCTGTTTCTCATGTATAGGCAAGGTTTCCTGTGAAGAAAGAGGTAATGTAACTTCTTCTGGCATCCTTACAGCTTCTGAAAAGGGAATTTAGAAAAAGTGTTAACTACATTAAGAGCCAGAGAAAAAACAAATAATATTAATGCCAGTATTTTTGAAAATGAGTAGACATGTAAGTATCACCAGGTTATAGTCTGCTACCATGTGTAAACTCCAGCACTCTCATTGAAACTTGAAACTCTTATTTAAAGTGTTACTACAAGTGATAGAAAGTGGAAAATATATTCACATTGGGTTATTTTAACCTAAGCCTTTCTGATTTTTAAGTCAGTGTGAAGCTCTTTAGCATCTTAGAAAACTGAGAACACAGTACAAGAATAACAGTTACCTGGAAGTAAAAGGCTTGCTGGCGCTAGGAACTGATTCCTAATCAGCAGATCCACAAGATCAGCAACCGTGCAGTTTGTGGTTCCCCAGTCATAAAGCAATTCACATGTGGGGCTCTTTCCCATTTGTACAAATGCCTCAAATCTCCTTAAAAGATAAGTTAAAACCAATATTAAAAAAAAGGAATAAAGTTACATCAAGAAGCATGAAGGGAAAGAGATTAAAGACAAATTACAAAAAAAAAAAAGTCCATATTGAAAAAAA